CTGGAAAATATGAAAATAAATAAATAACCACGTCGGATTTTGATGAATTTTTCTGGGACATTCTGTGGCTAAAAKGTGTGTTGATGAGAACACGACAGTGCCTTAAGTTTATATAACAACAGATCCACTGAATTTACCTTGCAGATGCGGCTTCACACGGTTGTGTTCTGAGGCAAGGATTCGAGCGACAACCCCGAAACAAGTTGTCCCCGCACTTAGTAATCCGTGCGCACGGATTACTAATCTGTGCTCTCAGTTTAGTAATGCGTGCGCACGGATTTCCGGCGGCTGTTTTTCTTTTTTCACCACTGACCCCCGGCGGGCTCCGTATAGTTCAGTTGCTCAGACACTGGAAAAAAAAAAACCAAACAAACAAAAATACAACAACAACAATGGTTCAAATTATATGGAGACGCCTGAGTCGGCCGACAAGAAACAATTGGCAGAAATGGAGGTTATTGAACGGCTTTGGACCCTATAAAGATGTGCATGTGAGAAATGGAGAAATGATGGACGGCTGTGGCAGAGTGGTTGGGGTCCAGCTGTCTCAGTTGTTGTGTCCTTGGGCAAGATTCTTCACCCCCCAATGCCTCTGATGTGTGTCCCATCAGTGTATGAATGTGTTTGGCACTGATTAGTCTCCGTATTTGATTAAACATGTTAGCTTTGTAGGAGATCTGGTAGAGTGCTGTGTGAATGGGTAAATGAGGACACAGAGTGAAGCGCTTTGAGTGTCCTGGTTGGCTACAAGGTTATAATAGTTTTGGATTTTTCATTATAGTTCAGTTTTATTTAGTTGTGACATTGTTTTCCTTTTAATTCAGTTAGTTTTAATTAGTTTTTAGAATGGATTTGCTAGTTTTTATTAGTTATTGCTTTTTTAATGCTTAGTTTTAGTTTAGTTTCTATTAGTTCTACTATTAGTTGTTTTTGTAGTTTGAATAAACATATTTGCCAATGCAACCTCTAGCATGACGTGTTCCTGTGAGTTAACTAACTAGCAGCTTTTTGATCATCAGTCAAAGCAGCCCGTTATAGCAACACCTTCCTAATATAATCCCGTAACTCAGTTTTGCCAACAAAGAACTTGTAAGAAGGTGACAATAGTTGTCTAGATCCTGGTGCTACCTGGCTGGGCTGCAGCTTGTTTTCCACAGGAACTACTAAGAGAAGCTGCTTGTTAAGATGCTCAGTTAATTAGTCCCTTGAGAAGTATTCCACCTATTCTATTACCTGTTTCCACTGCAAGACGCTTTTAATTTTCTCGCAGTCGTATTCAAAGAAACCCCAAATAAGACTTTACTGCTTTCTCCCAACTTTTTTTGTCGTCATTTTGCAGGCGAGCGCTGAGCAGCAGCAGCAGACTGTAAACAGGTGATGTTACAGACCCTGATGTGCCGTTAGCCGCCCACAGTTAATGTGAAACTGCTCAATTTGAATAAAAAAAAGAAAGATTAGTTTAATCAGTCCCCACGGCTCAAAATAAATTAACAAACACTAAAACTAAGGATATTCTATCTATGATTTCAGTTAGTTTTAGTTAGTTTTGTAAAAAGATTATACAGTTTTAGTTAGTTGTTTTTTTTTTTCAT